GTAGGTAGGTATAACTGTTATAAAGTTAATAGAAGAAACACATCAATGTCATTTCTATTTTATTTGTATTATTCCCCTTATTCCCTCCATCTCAGAGTAATTTCAGTGTATGTTCTGTCTGATTACATTTCATTGGCTCTTCTTTCTCCCCGGCAAATATCACCATCTCACCAAAGTAATCAAAACTCTTCCTTGTGTGAGGCTACAATCTTCCATTGTGTTTCAATACATAGAAGTTGGATGCCATTTCCAAACTTCATTACCGTACTTGCTATTCTCCAGACCAGGACCAAAATGAGGAAAGTGTTAACCCCAGATTTTAGTACTTCGTGTATATTTCTTCCACAGCCTTTTTGCTTTGTTTGTAATTGTTTTATTTTCTGTGGTTTATTTTCTTCCCTTTTTTATAGGTGAAAACCTCACCTGGTGATATCTTTAAAATGGGACAGATAACCAACAGCTACAGAGTCCACGTAACAACTGCCCTCAGTGTTTCACAGGGAGAGATAAATCTGGTCTCACTTATGCTCTGAAACCATCATGACTGTAACAAGTTACATTATTTCTATTTTTAATATATTTTCTCAATGACTGGTAGAGTTACAGCCAAACATCTGTACAATTTGAAAGAAGTGCTCCACTAAAATTATAACAAATTTAAGGTAAAGAATCATAGAAGTTGGCCTTAGCAAGTCACCTAAGTGTAAAACTTTATCCCTACTCCCTTGGGCTCTCTCCCAGCCCCAGCGAGTACCATGGTTACTTCACCATCGCAATTTTGGAATGCTTATTCAGGGCTTATTCATATGATACTAAGCAGAGCAAGACAAAACAGCTGGTCTGTAACCAAGGACACAACAAAAGTTATGTCTGGCATTAGTCTGAATGAGAGAAGGGGTTTTTGTTTTGTTTTGTTTTTTAAGAATGAGTCACCATATACTTATGCTTTTGAAACCCTTTACCTGCAGCAGGAAGACTGCTGCACAGCAGCTCACCTGGCATTGCTCGAAAGCTCCAGCCCGTACCTGAATCCTAAAAGCTCTTTCTTGAAAATACCACAGGAAAACGCTGATTTGTTATAAAATAACACTTCTATGTGCACTTTCCATCTCAGAATTTCAAAACAGTTACAGACGTTAACATAATACTACGAGTGTCACAAATCCCTTGAAAACTATAAAATAAACCAGGCCCATAGAAGTTGCCATACCAGGTCTGGCCGGTGTTTCACTTAATCCAGCACCCTGTCTCCAACAGACAAGAATAAAATGTTAAATATAGCATGTCAACATATTAAACCCTACCCTGCTGTCCCCTAAAGACAGCTGAGCACACATGAAAACAGTAACCTTGGAGCCTGCTGACTCCAGTTCAGGAAAGAAGGATAATTATACGCACAGGGGTAACTGAGGAGTCTGACAGTTTCTAGTGCAGCCTGGTTGGTTTTGGCCCAAACTCAAAGGGTTTGCATGTTTATGTATGGATTTCAGGAAAACAAATGTCATAGTTAACTACTTACAAGAGTGCTTAGGGTGAACCAAGCATCATTATCCGTAAAGATAATAGCAAATTCCCCTCATGAACCCATTTGTGCCAAACAAGTAACTTCCCCCACGTTCTCCCAAGCTCTTAGGCCACCGTGCCGCTGTGGAAGTGGTGCAGCTGAGTCCCACCACAGCAGTTAAAAGAATCCTACGCTGTAGTCCATGCTCATGGATTTCGGTGGCATCAGGAATTTAAATGCAGCCTGGAAACTGCCTTCTGCCCTCCCCCAGTGGCACTGGTTCTGTCCTGGAGGAAACCAACACCAGAACACTGGCTTCTAGAAGGGGGCAAAAGAGGAAAGTTCATCTGTTTGTTCAGAAACCTGTTTCTATCCAAGCAATAAAGCAAACCTAATTGATTTTAAGGCAGGCAGGATGTCCCAGAAATTTCATTACCTTGCTGAATTGGCTGCTGTGTTATTAATGTTCACCAGACATACAGAGGGTGGGGTGGAAAAAGGGAGAGTTGGCTGAAAAAACGTCTGCTGGACAAACAAAATGAAGGAATCTTTTACTTAATATATAAAATAATCCCTGTGTAGGAATTCTATGCTTAATTTCCCTAGGTTTGTTGCGTACTCGTTCTGCCACCTGCTGCCCTGGCATTCCCCAAAGTTACAGGAACAGGAGTTACATCCCAGAGCTTTCCCAGGAATGAATACTGCATGCCTAAGAACAAGCATCAAATAGCCCAGTGGCCTGGCCTGGCCAGAAGATAGGAAAACTGGTTCTGGAAAACTGCTGCCTTGAATCCTTTTTAACGATTACATTATCACTCCACGTTCTGCAGAATACCACCCTTGGGCCTCGTGGCCCAGCGCCTCTCAAGAGGTGTCTTCTCTCTTGATGGGCAGGATTTCCAAGCATGGATTAGCACTCTGGCTCTAACATCATGGAAGTGGGACGTAAGGAAATATCCATCAGACTTTCATCACTGCCCCAGTTCCTCCAGGGAAAGAAGGAGAGAAAGTAGAGCCAGGAAGAGCATCTTCAGGAGGTCAAGTGACTAAAAAAATAATTAATTCTAGCTTTTGAAAGAAAAAATTGTGTCCGCTGTGCAAGTCAGAACAAAATGCAGAGTATTCCTTGAACAGTATTGATTCTGTAGGGTTACAAATTGTGAAAAGCAAGGAAAACTTGGTTTTGCGCTACTTTTCACCCAAATCTATGGAACAACTGCGTGCTTTCAGTAGTTTCCTAGGGCAGAATTTCACTTTTTTTTCAATATAGTAATATGAGGATTTCTAAAAGTGATTACTGACTTGGGAATTCTTGGACCTCCGAGTTAAGCTTCCTTAAAAAGTGCTGATTTTCAAAGTGCTGATACCCAATACCTCCTGACAGAACCATCTTATCATGACTGAAATGGCATCTCAAGAACTGAGGCACCTTTATTCACAATTCATTTCTGAAAGTGGGTATAAAGCAATTATACAAGAACATACGTGTGTAAAACTATAGTAATTTAATCAATACAGTGCTACTACAGGTAGGGTAACTCTAGATGCCTTCCTTTAACTGGAAACTGCACGTCTCGCTGAAAGATTTCTATGACTTTAAGAAAAGAGAGTTTATCTAAAAAGGACACAGATATCAGCAACAGAAAAATACTTAAAGGACATCACAGACACATCCCATTTCATTCATTGACTTCACAGACATACCCTTATTTATATTTATATCACACTTCTGTTTCAAATTACTTTGTTTTTAATAACATACACTAATGTTTACTTTAAGGTTGGTTTTCCTCACTGTAGATTTACTTCTGCTTAACTAAAACAGAATGAGTCCGTGGCTTCACATGCAAGCAAAGTGGCGCACCTGATAAACTCAGTTAGGAACGGAGTAAAACTGCTTTGTTTTAAGCAGATCATAATATGTTTTTTATAATGGCATTTTAAAGGCTTGGAAACAACATTTCACACACTCGCGATCTACTCCTTCTAAAAAAATCAGGAAAAACTCCATTTAATATCTGCATGTTCTTTAGGAAAACTGCTCCCTCTTTCCACCACCAGAGGAATGTTCTTAATCCTTTTTAGCTGACTTTGTGCCTCACGAAGTAGCACAGAGCCTGGTTTCTGCCCTTTTCCCTTTGCCAGCTCCACCTCCCATGTACCTCCAAAGCAATCCAGGAAATTTGTGAGCAGCTTTGTATTTAGCACACACATGTAGAAAAGGAGAACTCATTACAGACCAGAATAAGAAGCAGAACTTAGAGAACCTAGAAGAGCAGCAGCAATAAGAGTATGTTTCTATACAGCTGTGCAGGGTCTTTAGAAGCGAGTCCAGAAGATGTTTTTTCTAACTGCATTTGACACACCTAACGTGCTGCCTGAGAGCCCAGAGGACTACAGCTGCTTCACAGTGCCTAATACTCACAGGAACACAAGTGCCATCGTTATAACTTTACTTCTAATGAGCAGAATAAACCAGGATGACTTCCTCTCCTCTGGCTCTAAAGCGAGAAACCTTGTGTTGTGGCAGTAAAACCAGGAGCACCAATTTAAATGCATGAGGGTAGTAACGCTAGAGGAGTAAGATGGTACAAACTTCACATAGCAATTTTTCTGACAACTCTCTACTTTAACGGGCAGAAAATCAATAACATTAAGACTGAGGGTCACAGCCTTTGGAAAGAGTTACATCAATGCAAAAACAGAATAGACAAAGCCAAAAGAGATTATAACCACAGATATCCCAAGGGACAGATGAAATCATGGGTTACGATGTTTTTAAAAACAAAAAAAAAATTATTCCCTCAATCAAACCCCAAATGTCTTGCCTCCTAGTTTTTTACAGCTTTTTTTTAAATTAAGAGGTGAAGATTGCAGTCTAAAATGCTACTCTATTTCACTCAAAGACATGAAGCCTCTTAGTGGAAAGGGTATGAATTCTCCTTTTTGCAGACATACTTCTGGAAAATTGGTACCATACTTCCTGTTCAAAGTTAAGCTTCCTGGTGCAGGCTGCAAGCTTCCACTTGCAAACAGTAGCTGCAGAAGATAGAGTGCTCCCTGTCCTAACAGACACAGATAAAATTTGGCACAACGAGTGGAAAGGATGACAACAAAACAATCACAGCAGTGAAAGGACTAGCCTCCTACTCCTGCCCCAAAATCCCGGTGCAGGAAAGCACTTTAAGGATTACCCTTCATCGCCATACATGAAATGCACTAAAAGCTCAAGGAACTTGTATGCCAGTGCCAAGAGGCCAACGCCAGGTTCTGCCACTCAGATAAGCCCATTCCAACACAGGGAGGCACTGGAGGACTGGCCATCCCCGAAAAGCAAAGGACGCTGCCCTGCACCCGAAATAAGCAATTGGCTGCAGAGTGCCAGGTTCTCAACACACCTGGCATAATCACAGGGGCTGAAGGACACAGTTAGCCCATCTGACCAAGCATTGCTGGTGTAGCTTTATTTAAATTTTCTTTGCTGTTAAGTTCTCACCTGTCTTGTCGGCATGTCATGGTATTGTAGAATGAGCCTGGTGTTGACGCTGTGACTCCATGTGTTACCAAGGGCTGCTGTCACACAACCAGATTCCCTCTTCCCACTTCCAGAAGCTCCTGAAGATAAACATGAAAGAAATTGCATCAGGACTGCGCCACAGAGAAGGGGTCAGCATGGAAAATCTAATCAGTCATCTCAGTTCATTCTCTAACATAGGTAATCACAATTGGTACTTAAGAGATGGCACTTTCACAGGAATTTCCTACCTTTCTAATTTATTTATACAACTGCAGTGTGAGTTCTCCATCTCACCCTCTGATACCTAGACAAAGTGCCAAGAATTAAGGATATGCAAGATTTACAAAGAAGGGAGCCTCTTAGCTGTAAATACCTGAAATCATATGAACTTTATATAACCCTAAGGGAAAATGCATTTTGTTGCAATCCAACAATGACAACATGTTTGAAAGGTCACGGGGAACAGGAGAGGACTGGAGGAAAGCCTATGTCACTCCAGTTTTCAAAAAGGGCAAGAAGGAACTTCTCTGGAGATATTCAAAACCCGTCTGGACGTGATCCTGTGCAACCTGCTTTAGGTGAACCTGCTGTAGCAGGTTTAGTTTTACTTGGACTAGAGATCTGTAGCGGTCCCTTCCAACCCCATTCTGTGATTCTGCAGCATAAAGTGTTTCCAACAGTGCCACATGATCCAGCTTGCTGAACTGCCATTGCACCTGAGCTTTCTCATGTTGAAAACACAGACATACACATATGCAGACAGCTAGGTGCCCAAGACCTTCATCTTTGCATACCACAAGTTCTGTGTAAGATGAACAGATAGATGGATGACTTGTTTGTACTTCAAATGACACTTCAAGAACAGAGCAAGCCAGAGAAACCAAAGAAATTCAGAAACAAAATCTGGGTATAGTAACAAAATGTGGATATAAATGGTCACATGCAAGTTGAAAAGGGAACTGTTTGAGACAGACAGTCCATACTGTTAAAAAGCTGTGAGTGTTGGCCTGAAGTTGAATGAGACAAAGTTAGATTTAAAGTTGGGGAACTTCCTATCATCTATCAGGCAACAAAAAAAATTATTTCCCAAGGACAGGCATGAAATCCTTGTCAACTAATCAATTAAAGGTAGACCAGACACTTATTCTGCAATGCAAATTTGGGAGCAGCCTTATGTTTCTGTCAAAACTATCAGTAATGCAACCATTAATGTTTCAACTTAAATCATAAGTACTAGGCTTTGGAAGCGACACTGTGCTGAGGTAACAAAGTCACCTCATGGCCCAGTGGAGGTTTTGGAAGATTCAGGTTTAAAACCCTTTATTGCTTTTATGTTTGCAAGGTTGCGGGGTTTGTTACATTTTCCCCCCAACTATTCAGACCAGAAACATAATTTATTCATTCACTAAAGCTTTTATTTTGGAAGAATATCCAGTAAAGGGTAAGGCCAAAAATGTTGTCATGCAGTAACAATCATTACTTGTATCACTGCCTGTAGCTAGAAAGCAGTAAGAAGGAGACTGTGTTAGAGTGGGTGAGGCAGAGGAGAGCAGCAGGCTGGAGAGAAGTACCTGGAATGATGGCAGTGAGCTACAGGACTCTGCTGAGGACCTCAAACTGCCCCCCACCCAAGTAATACAAAGTGCAATTAACATCAACTGGGTTTGGATTAGGTCTTTAAATGTTTAGGGTCTACAAAAGAAATGAGTGAAGCTCCTCAATTCAAGCCAATAGTTTGACAAGAGTCTGGACTCTGTACTTGTCTGAATTACTTCCCACGTCACGGGAACCCATGGTGACACGCACAATACGCGCTTAAAGAACAACATCTGTTCTTGTCTGAAAACAGGCTACAGTTGTGCCATCCAGCAAGGATGGCTGCTTTTCTTCCCTCAAAACAAAGGTATTAATATCTTGATATACATGAAACTTCCACCTGAATAACTCACCGCAGGAGCACCTAACTGGAAGTTTCAGGATTAGGAATGCTATTCTGTTAATTAGTCTAACCCATCTCTATTGGGAAGGTGGATACGCTGACAAGAATTTCTCTTCATCTACATTTTAGATTTAGTTTGCCAGCTGGAGGAAAGAACACATTCAAGTGTTAAAGCACGGTGCTGGGAGGTCTGCATTCCATTCCCTTAAAATGACTTAAACCAAGTTCCTTAATTAAGTTCATTAAGTTCTACACACTTTTGCTTTTGTGCTTGTGCTAACACCACAAAAGTAAAATGCCATTACTGTACAGACAGGCTAAGGGAGAATAAAATACAGTGAAGCAGCTTTAAAGTCTTGCAGTCCTCTTTTTGTCATGTGCAATAAGCTGCAAGTTTCTCCTGTAGTCAACATTGTCCTTCTTTCTCACCTGCTAGAAAGGGGAAGGAATCACAAAATTCAAGCGGGGCAGCTGTGAGTTCTGGTGGGTGTGGAGGTGTCCTCTCACAGCTGGCATCCCTGTATGCAGCTGGGAGCCACCACTCCACCAAGAAGCAATTCACCCACAGCTGCTTGGGGACCTCTGACTATCGACAAAAAGCCCAGACATTACAGAAGTAGCTACTGTTGGCACAAAACAGATGCAAAATTCACATCCAAACTTCCCTCAAATTATGTATCTCTGCTATTAGCTAACAGAAGGAGTAACACCTCCTTGTTGCAATCCTGAGCCAGGCATTTAAGGGGTTAAATGTCTGGAGCCTGCTGATATTACGGAGATATCACTCCATAGCAATTCCTAATTCTGCATTCCTTCCAGGCCTAAAACCTGCCCCAAAGTGAACAGGAGTGCTAGAGGTGTAAGGCTTGTGGCAGAACAAGCAAGCTAATTGCTGTCATTTATTTTATTTTATTATAGAGGAGAAAGCCTACCGTACCACACTGTGTCAGCCCCAGCCTGCAGAGGGCTGTTTGTGTGACCCACTTTCAGGCAAATCCTCTTCTGTGAAGTTATTCAAATTTATGACTCTGGTGCAAAGTAAGCCTGGAGCAAATTTACAGTGGAGACTTTTTACAGGGTGGAAAGGAATGCCTTACAGGAAAGGTTTCCATTTTATAGGGGATCCTCCTGCAAGCTGATGCAGTCGGCAGAGCGAGAGGCAACGAGAAGTGAACTGAGGGGGAAGCAGCGCCAGCTTTGCAAAGAAGTTCAAGGGCAGTAACAGCACATGCTTCATTCCTTCTCCTTGCTCTAAACACAAAAAGATAGCAAATGTCTCAGAGGAAGGACAGAGGATATGTTAAGAAAACAGATTTATACTCAAACGTGGCCTTAAAAAAACCCTGGACTTATCTTTTCTGTTATTCCAACCACTGTTTTGTGGTCATTAATGAACTGGACAAAGGAAGTGGATAAATAATACTGTTCAAAGAGAGATATTTTCAGCACACGTTGCCTTGTTCTTTCAAACCCTGATATTTTTGTGCATAGAGATGGGAGTATCAGACCAACCTTGGCCCAAGAAGAAAACAGGCTTACAAGGGACTTTGGTCTCTGCCCAGAGGTTCCCAAGGTGTCCAACCTGAGCTGCTTCAGAGCAGTATGGAGGAAATGCTTATATTTGTGCAATGTGAGATCAGCTGAGGGGCAGCAGTCCCCGTCTCTCCAGCCTGCACAGCTCACACTCCAGTCACTGCTGGCCTGAGGGCTTCTGCTCAGGTCACAGGAGATGGAGGGAGCATAGAGACTAGGGAGAGGAAGAAAACAGGGCTGACAGATTGGAGAAAGGTGGCAGGTCTCAGTTTACAGATGCAGGGTGTGGGAAAAGGGAGTGGTGTCCAGAAGCAGAGGAATGGGATCCTGGCATGGGAAGGTGAGGGTGGGAAAACACCTCTAACAGCCCCCTGCTTTACGTATTCAGATCCAGCTCAAGTGAAACTAAGTGGTGATTTCAATTCCTGTAACCACTCCTCCCTTCCTCACACAAAAAGGACTAGCATTAAACCAATCTTCAAAGGGCACAGCAGCAGACAGGCCAAGGACTGCACGAGGTACCTGTTCTACCGTCTCCTGTGAAATGGAGCTCTTCAGGGCACCGGCGGAGACACCGGCAGAGACCGTATCTGCTCTGGATCACAAGCACAGCGGAACTGGCTGTCTCACTCTCGCTGAACAGCTGTCACAAGTGAAAATAAAGCTGCTTGTGGTCTGAGACAAATGCAAAGTAAATGCCTCTCCACAACCCGGGGAAAAACAAACCAAAGAAGAAAGGGTGATTCTTCACCCAAGGCCCACGGTGCTGTTTCCAAGCAGAAGAGGAGGCTCACACAGGGCTCTGCTGCCCTGGAAGGAGCTGTTGGTAGAAACGGGCAACAACATTTCACCCTACTTATACTAAAGGGCTAGATTAATTTTGTTTCCCCCTATTAATGCAATTGAAACAAACCTTCCTCTTTTCACCGAGATGAACGACACATATAGGCAGGATGGGGAAAGTGGGTTTATTTCACCTTCCATTTTTCACTGGAGGACACAGTAGGATTAAAGCTATTCAGCTCAATGCTGATTCTGCAATTATTGTTGTGTCCAACCAGAGAGTTAAAGTACAGACACGGTCTCAAAGACCTTCTCGTTCTCTACCTATAAGGAGGTACCATTTTAAAGACTAAATCCTCATGTAAGCAAGCCCAAATTGTTGCAGATATGGCCAATACAGATTTATCATAAAGGAATTTCAGTTTCATTAGTGTCTCATCCTATGAAAATTAGGACAACTAGACCATTGTCTTGAATCAAATAAACCAGACTTCTTAAAACAACATTTTTAAATGCAAGCAGTCCTTGCAGGCAGAATGTGATTATACTCTTGATTAAAAAAAATAACCTGTTCCTTGTTGGCATAACTGCACATTCTCATATGGATTTCTGCCTTTCCAGATGAAAGAGTCATTGCCTGGCAGGTTCATCCCCACCACTGGGCCTCTTTGCAATCTCTATCAATTTGGTAATTCAAAAATCTTTTCTCATCAAATGCAAAAAAGGGACTGACGCACAATACAACAGCAAAATAACAAAATAGAGAAGCAACCAGTCGGCAAATCTTTCAAATCTTTATATCAAATCATCTTGAGAAAAGCCTGATTTATCAAAAAGGAGGAA